CATCATATCAGTTACGTCATCACAACTAGCAAGAAAAAGCAACAACAACAAAACCAACATCAGTTATAACATCATCATCACCACCACCAAAAACAACATCAACATCAGTCACAACATCACGAACAACAACATCAACAACAACAAAATTTCCAAAAACACCTGACAGCCAACCAAACAGAATGTCATGGGGACAGGCGTATCACGTTGCACGCCACCTTCTAACGACAACAAACTTTTTAATAATGATTGCCACTAAAATTGTCATTACTACTACTTCTACTACCAACACAGCTGCTGTTTCTGCTACTGCCGCTGCTACTCTTGCTACATCAAGTTATTCTAAAATTACTCCAGCCACAAATACCAGCAGATTTTTTGACGGTACCATTAAACCAGACTTGGCCGATGAAAATGATTACTATTATCCTGATTATTTTAAAACATTTGTCAAAGTGTTAAAAAAAAATTCGGTTGAAATAAACAATCAACTCGGAGACAACAAAAAAGATGTAGAATTAAATAACTTGAAATACTCATCCCCTCTCAGCACAGCGCGCACGCTGATGAAAAATGTAACAACAACAACAACAACAACAACAACAACAACAACAACAACAACAACAACAACAACAACAATAACAACATCGACTACAGACCACTACAACAACATTTGTATTACTTTCTTTGCCAACACAACTACTACTGTTAATGTTACTAACACTAATACTACAACTGATACTGCAAATAAAATATCTACTGAGACGAAAATTTCGTTTCCAATTTTTCAACCTGTTGGAGAAATGTCAGCTGTGGAAAATTTTGAAGCGAAAATTATGACGGAAGGAGAAATCTTTTCATCAAATTTTAGAATGCCATCAACAACAACAAAACCAACAACAACAACAACAACAACAAAACCAACAACAACAACAACAAAACCAACAACAAAAACACCGGCAACAGTTTCAACAAAATTGTTAACGTTGAGGAATAAAATGTCAACAAATATAACACCAAAGAATATGACATCAACATTTATGACATTAACAAACAAATTACTTTTGTTTACAGCAGCATCAATGAAAATGAAATCATCACCGATAAAAGCATCAACAGTGTCCACAATTACAGCAACATCAATGGCAACAACTTTAATGACAACAATTTCTCAAGCCAGATCACCACAGCTACCATCAACAACACCACCATCAATACAAACAACTTCATCACCAACAACACCATCAACAACATCAAATTATAACATTTTAACACAGTCGCGAAACAAATATGAGCAGCGGACAAATGAAAAGATTGATGAGGTGAGGGCGAAGAACAGAGGAGCGGTTAAATTGAGAAGAACATCAGGTAGCGAAGGAGCTTTCATGCAACAGCAGCATGAATCATCTGGGCTCGCCTCGTCTGCTTTCATCATAATCAACACAACTCAAAAATCTCTAACCTTATCGTCAACTTCATCCTCATCGTCGTCGTCATCATCGTCAAATTCTTCAGCGTCTTTGTTGTCATCCATGTCTTTGACATCATCTTCGTCATCTTCATCGCTACCGCCATTATTTTCAAATAGTCTTTCAAATGGCATAAAAGAAGAATCTGGTTTTTGTATCGAGAAGATTTTTTTAAAACACAATTTTAATCATCACCGCCAACAACAATCGAAACAACAACATTTCGATTATAATATTCAGCAACAACGTCAACAACAACAACAACAAAAACAACAACAGCAACAACAGCAAAAGCCACGTAAATCACAGGCTCAACAATTATCGAATTTAAAAAAACGTAAACAAAGAAGAGATTCATATCAGCAACAACATCAACAGCACCAACAACAACATCAACAACACCTTCAAAAGCAACACATACACCTGCTAAATTATTCAGTTTACGAAGAGGTGCGGAAAGGCTGGCAATTGGCTGACCTAATTAATGACTGCGTCTTATTGGAGAGATATTCAAACATAAGTGAGGTCAAATTCAAACTAATCAATCAACAACCGAGTTCATCGCTTCATGCAATCGGATTGGATGAGAAATTAGGTCACATACGTGTCATTGGTCGGCTGGATCGTGATGTTATCTGTCATGGATTAGAACTCTGTCAGGTCAGATAATGAAATCAATATAAATTTCAGTTATATGTTGAATAGTTTTTAAGGAATGATTTGGCTGACGAAGTAGTTACGTCATGTTATGTGTGCGTATGTCGGGTGGTGGGAACTGTTTTCTAAGTTTATATGAAGAAAACATATAGCTCTTCTGCGTTTGTCAAAGCAGCAAAATAAAAAATGGAACGAGAATGTAGAACTTAAGCTTTCAAATTAGATTTCACAATTGAGGAGTCCAGCTCAGACATTCATTCATTCGAGACTTGATCACCGCAATGATGTTTTTATGATGTATCTAGAAATGTAATTTCTAAATTGCAGTCAATCAAAAACCGAACAGCTAAACTCAATTTTGGTGTTTCTAAAATTTGAACATGTAAAATCACTCATACGCTCCATTGGCTTCTGATGAATGAGATTAACTTATAATTTGGCTGTTACGATGTTTGCGGTTGTCAACGGACCGGAGTATCTGAATGAGAGATGTTCTGACGAGGCAGCACCATCGAGACGTTTGGCGCTGAGATTAGATTCTACGCATCTAAGGAGTACACCTTGGGCTTTATTAGTGACTGCCCAAAGAGGTTTTGCAGTGACTGGCCCCATGTTTTGGAATGATCTGTCCCAGCTCATCGTCTACGTGGAATCATCTTCTCGGATTTTTGCAGACAATTGAAAGCTCGCCTTCCAAAGAACACTTATGTTCACATTCGGCCACAGAACATAAGTGAACTAGTGACTGATCGTTTAACAGCAACAATAATAATATTGGAAAGATTGTAAAAAATTTAAATATGCACGACGCACAACAACAACCTTTCAAGTTTGAACTTCTGCATTCATTCAGCATTTTTGCAGTCTTCTTCGGAACTTTTCCAGTATGTTCTATAATTTTCTATGACCATAATCATAGAAACATTGATGATAGTTATCAACGACCAACAACCACACACCCACACACACACACACACCCACACACACACACACACACACACGCACATCCAAATTGTTCCAACCATCATCAATCCATACCGAGGAGAAATAGAAGAACATCAAGAGAGCACCATCAACCGACACTGCATTTCATCACTGCACCATCAACCGACACGAACATTTCAACGTCAGCCTCGTTTAATGCATTTTTATAATTACATGCTGAATCAAAAAAAAGTGATTTACACATTCCGGAAATTAATTTAAATTTTATAAAAACTAAACAAAAAAAAAATTTACCTAAAGAAATTTAATACCTTGTTAGTTTATTATTATTATTATTAATATTATTATTATCAAAAACAAAAAATCCACCACCATAACCATCATCATCTTCATCATCACCATCATCATCAACACCCTCATCATCACCACCATCACCACCATCATCATCAACATCATCTTCACCACCACCATCATCATCACCATCATCATCTTTAACATCATCATCACCACCATCACCATCGCCATAACTACTCCCCAATCAATCATCCACCCAAACATCTCAGGTCCGTCTGGATGTGATCGTGAAGCCGGACCTCCAGATGGTCAAGGTACTAATCGACATCTTAGACATCAACGACAACTCGCCGCAGTTTGCGAACAGCGTGCGAACGATAAATCTTAGCGAAACTACACCCATCGGCTCGACTATCCGTCTCGATATGGCAGCCGATATCGATTCGAGTAGATACGGTATCGCGAGATATTATATCAAAGAGAGTGTGGCTACTGCTGCTGCTGCTGTTCAGAATGATAATAAGAATATAAACGTTGATATGAGATTGGCGTTTGAAGAAAATCTGCAACTGAATTTTCTAAACAATGACTCTAACAAAAATAACAATTCTGGTCACAACAACATTCACATAGATGATAGTAGTAGTAGTAGTAGTAGTAATAATAATAATAATAATAATAATAATAATAATAACACCAACAATAACAACAACGACGACAAATATTTTTTCAATTTGGTCCTACAATCCAAATCCGACTTGTCGAAGGAGTTGCTGTTGGTTGTCGCAAAACAACTGGACAGGGAATTAGTTGCTGAGCATCATTTGAAGGTTGTTGATGATGTTCATATTATTATTATTGTTGTTATTATTATTATTGTTGTTGTTATTGATGTTTTTTTATATGTTTGTTAATACTAGCTTGGGCGATTCGGTTGGTTAATTGTAAATGTTAGTAACGAGCTCCATAACGGTAATTAATGTACTTTTGAAATTATTTTAATGTAACCGTTACGAGAATTTTTGTTCGATTTCATGATTCTGTTGAGGTATTCTAAGTGTTGTTAGTTTTATCTAATGTGATTGCTTTTTGTTGTTGTTAATGCTACTTTGTCAAATGGTTTTGTAGTTGCAGTTGATGTTGTGGTATTTTGAATTTCAGTTTTTTTCATGCCATTTTAAGGTAAAAAATTGAACGGCAGTAAAATATAACATCAATTTAGTGGCACTTAAAGCACCATTTTCATCAATTGTTCTTTATGGTTATTGCATTGCAAATGCTGTTTTTTGTTGATGTTGATGTCATTTTTAAGAAAGTTGATGTTTTGTTAATGTAATTGTTGATGTAATTGTTGGTGTGGTGTTTTTTCTTGTATTCAAAGTTTTTCTTTGGTTTGAAATTTGCACGGACTAATTGGAACGGGCACTTTGTATATTTTAGAATCATTGCCTGCTAGATCGTCAGCGCTTAAAAATTCATGGCCACATTTCTGAAACTGCATTAACTAAGCGTTCAATTTCATCATCATTACGTCATCGCTGGTGTCACCGGCGTCATCATTGCTATCATCATCCTCATCATCGTCTAATTTTATTTCCTTAACCATTGGTATCATTTTCGTAATCTTCACGCATGCATTCTATTACGACTCACATCATCATGATTTTCATCCACGTTATGTTTTTAGAATAGAAACATCACAATGAGCAAACAACTTCGGTCATCATCGCCACATCATCACCACATCATCACCACATCAACAGATAATAGCGATGGACCGAGGCATACCGCCAAAAAACGGTACGATGGATATAACGATTTCTCTACTTGACGCCAACGACAACAAACCGATATTCGTGTCGGATTATTACGAGGCCACCCTCCCTGAAATGGACGACTACAACATGGTCAGGGTTGTACGCGTCCATGCAACCGACGCAGATACCGGCGAGTTCGGAAGGGTTCGATACTCGTTGCGGGCGGCATCATCGATTAATAACGCTGTCATCACCTTCAGGGCGAGCAGGGACAGCGGTCAAAAAATGAAAACTGCAAGGTCCATCCACACCAACCAACATGATGATCAAACTAATTGCAATAATAGTTTTTTGAGTGCTAACAATATCAGAAGAAACAGTAGTAGTTTTGGTGATAGTAGCGATGTAAGTGCCGCCAGCGACGAGTTGTTTACTTATAAAAAGCACAGAAGAGACGTCACTCATATCAACTCAAGCATCCGACCAAAACATCAGCCTCAACCGCACAAGCACAAACAATCAAACAAGAAACGCAAACAGCACAAACAGAAAAATTCATCCACGTCACAAATGACGTCATCGTCAGCAGCCTCCTTAGCACCATCATTATCATCACCATTTTTTTCTTCGGCATCATCTATGCCGTTCAGAATCGACGAATTGACCGGTCAGATATTCGTAATCGGTAGTCTCGATTTTGAAGCGGCTTCCATCCACAAACTCATCGCGATTGCTAGCGACTCGGAACCGACTCACACCGCCGAGGCAATTGTGGTCATAAAAATAGTCGACATCAACGATAATGTACCAATCATTCAGTTCCACACTCTCAAATCAACCAACTCAAACCTCGCTCAAATAACCGAGAACGCTCCGAGCAACACTTTTGTGGCTCGGATGGTCGTTACTGACGCAGATAGTGAACTGAACGGAGCTTTCGACTGCTACATAAGAAGCGGTAGAAGCAACCATCATGACGCCAGCTTCACGGATAACTCGGGTGTCGGTATTAGGGAGGAGCACTTCCAACTCATCAAAATCGAATCTCACGTCGATAACTTTGCTGCCAGTAAAGCATCGAGTTACGTCGATGATGTCACTGACGATAGCGACGACGACGACTACAGCGACTACAGCAGCAACAGCGGTAGTGATGTGGCAGGCAACGGCAACGTGATAGAGTACCAGGTTGTGACCACAGAGGCAAGTTTCGACAGAGAGGCTGTGGCTACGTTAGTGACATCTTTCGTTCGTTCGTTTAAAATTACTAACTCTTTTTTGACGTGGTGTGATGACATTCATTTTTCAATTTTGCACGTCATTATGCGGTTATTGGTTATGAATGCAGTAGATACCGACATATGACACTAACTATTCTAATGAGTATAACTTCTATAGAACGGGCACATAATCGACAGTAACTACTACTTTTTGAAATATATTACTAGCATTATTTTCTACTCTCACTTTTGAACTGTTTAGTAATGTTTGCTTTAATGAGGGTAGTTGAAACTCGAAGCTGACTAGACAGATGTTTGTTTACCTGCGAACTGACCTCAGTGTCTATTTTTTAGGAATTTCATTTTGGATAAGCTGTTCACAGCAGCAGGTCTTTCTAAAAAGTGATTTTCGCACGCTAGTTCAAATTTGGAAATTTTCCTTGCAAACAGTTTTGTATAAAAAGTCACCAGATCATTTCTGTCATATGTTGCGTATGCTGATTTCATTGTCACATCAATTTGCGAATCTGGTTTATGCAATTTTTTTTTAACTTTATTGAATTGTAGTAAAAAACAAAAATAAAATAAACACTAACTCTCTAACTGCAAATAAAAGGCGTTAGTTCAATGAGCGAAACACGACACAATGGCAGTATTCTTGTGAATTATTACAAAAGATTAAAAATATATGAAGATTTTTGTCTACAGCTTCATTTTATTACAAACAATATTTACTGAAAATTTTTTTATTTGATATGTTAGGAATCGAAAATAAGTAAAATGATTGATAAAAGACACTTTATTCATATTTAACAATTTTGAAATTTATTATCGAGAGAGCCCACTTGAAGCGGTTTGGCGGGGCGGGTGGTGATCCGCGGACAGTTAGTTGCACCCCCCCCCCCTCTTCCATAGGTAAAGTGATCTAGTTCAAACGCCAAAGAATCGCACGTGAGTACGATGCGTCATTTCACGCCAATGAAAAAAATCCAGATTACAATTAATATAATGTGTTAAATTTTTTGTTACTGGAGCACGAAAATGTGTTGTGTGTTATTGTTAGCCTTGTTGATGTTGTGAAGTTGTAGTTGCTGTTGTTATTTTATTGCTTTTAACTGCATTGTTTTTAGTGTTCTTAGTGTGTATATTGTTTGATATTGGACCCCCCCCTCTTCCATAGGTAAAGTGATCTAGTTCAAACGCCAAAGAATCGCACGTGAGTACGATGCGTCATTTCACGCCAATTGAAAAAATCCAGATTACAATTAATATAATGTGTTAAAGTTTTTGTTACTGGAGCACGAAAATGTGTTGTTGTTGTGTGTTGTTGTTAGCCTTGTTGATGTTGTGGAGTTGTAGTTGCTGTTGTTATTTTATTGCTTTTAACTGCATTGTTTTTAGTGTTCTTAGTGTGTATATTGTTTGATATTGGAGCACGAAAGTAAAAATTACTTAGCTGGTATGCATTATTATTTTAATGTGAACGTTATTGTTTGGTGGCAAATTGTTGTTTTTGTAGTTTAGGTAATTTTAATTATTGCATCGTGAGTGCTTTTGTGCTGTTGTTGTTGTTATTGTTGTATATTTTTGTTGTTGTTGTTGTAGTTGTCGTTCTGGGAAATGAGTTTATTATATCTTTATGGCGTTTTCATTGTTGTTCCTTGTCCCAATTACGTTTAGTTGTTAATGTTGTTGTTGTTAGCGTTGTTGTGTTGTTGTTGTTGTGTTGTTGTTGTTAGCGTTGTTGTGGTGTTGTTGTCGTTGTGTTGTTGTTAGCGTTGTTGTGGTGTTGTTGTCGTTGTGTTGTAGTTATTGTTGTTGTTTCATTGCTTTTAATTGCATTGTTTTTACTGTTGTTATTATATATATATTATTGTTAAATGGATGTTTATCATTATAACTTCAGTTGTTGTTGTTGTTGTTGTTGTTGTTGTTGTTGTTGTTGTTGTTGTAACTGTTGTTCCACAAATTACAACGACATCTGCGAAAGAAATTTATCAATGATGACCATCAATTGATGTTATCTATAAAGATAATACCACATAAATGTCATGCAGTGATGATGGTTATGAGGATAGATGATGATGAAAATGATGATCCATAATGATATAATGATAGTTAAGGTAACGATAGTGATGATCGATGATGATGATGATAATGATGATGATGATGGTGATGATGATGATGATGGTGATGATGATGGTGATGATGATGATGGTGATGATGGTGATGATGGTGATGATGATGATGGTGATGATGATGATGATGGTGATGGTGATGATGGTGATGATGATGATGATGGTGATGATGACGATGATGGCTAAAATAATCATAACCAAAAATGATGATAATGATGATAGCAATAATAATGATGATAGAAATGATAACGATTATAATAGTGATGGCATTGAATATGATGATAACAAAATTGGTAATGAGAATGGTATTGATAAAAATGACTAAAAATGACTACACATAATGATGATGATTATGATGATGATCAAACCGGTGATGATGATAATGATGACCAACGACGACGTTGATGATAATGATGACCAACGGACGATGATGACAATGATGACCGACGGACGATGATAATGATTATTGTCATCTTGTTTGCAAAACATTGACGTTTCTTGCTACCTGATAGTCTGGCATGGAAGTGTTCATCAAATTTTTATCTCCCAACCCCTACCACCTCTTCCGCTTTCTACTCCAACGACAATAAATCTAAATTTTTTAAACTTATTGAATGGCTTTTTCTTGTTTTATTTTTATTTTTTGTTTCATTGATGTTGTTGTTGTAGTTGTTGTTTATTTTTGTTGATGTTGTACTATTTTTTATTGTTAGTTAAATATTGTTGTGGACTTTGGTTGTCTGCTATGCTTAGACTTTTTTTTTACTTGTTTGTTGTTGTCATGTGTTTGTTGTTGTCACGTGTTTGTATTTGTCACGTGTTCTTTGTTGTTGTCGTCGTGTGTTTGTTGTTGTCGTGTGTATTTTGTTGTCCGGTGTTGTGTTTGCTGTTGTTACGTGTTTGTTGTTGTCACGTGTTTGCTTTTGTCAAGTATTTGTTGTTGTCACATGTTTGTTGTTGTCATGTGTTGTGTTTGTAGCTGTCACGTGCTTGTTGTTGTCACGTGTTGCTGTTTGTGTTGTTATTTTTCTTCATGACATTTTAAAATTTTTTATTGTTGAGGCTATTTGTCATGTTTAAATTTTTAATTTACGTGATGTGTAATTAGTACTTTGTGTATTTTTTTCTCAAATGTTTTACTGATTAAATTTTTTAAGTTCTTTGCTAATTCAACAGTGTTTAGGCATCTTTTTCTTTCTTCTGTTGCATTTTTTCTATGTAAGCAACTCAAAGTTTGACTTACTAACTCTGCATTGATTACTCTGCATACAAAAATTTTTTTTATAATTTCGATGGTAAATTTTGTTTGCTTAATAAAAATTGTCGCTATAACATAAAAATATTCCTCAACATTGTCGTCGCTGTAGTCTCTATAAACACCAACATCATCTCTATCATCGTCATCAACATCAACATAAGATTGATCAACATCATCATGATCGTCATCGTCATCATCATCATCATGATCGTCATCATCACCATCATCATCATCATCATCATCATCATCATCATCATCATCACTAATTTATCATCATCATCAATTCATCATCATCATCATCATCATCATCATCGTTTTTCATCACATTAATCGACAATTCTTTCGTGACATCTATGAAGAAAAAAAAACAAAACAAACAATTACAACAACAACAACAATAATAAGAACATAAATAATAATAATAATCATCATCATCAGCGTCCCTTCTAAAATGATGTCAACAATAATTTTACGGTCCATAGCTCAAAGAAACCCGCACGCCTCGTTGCATTATAAGCATTACAATAATGACAATAATAATAATAATAATAATAATAATAATAATAATAATAATAATAATAATAATAATAATATTATTATTATTATTATTATTATTTACTTTCTCTGCTAATAACAATGGGAGGTCATGGCATCATTTCATTAAAAGATGCGACAGAAAAAAATGAGACTGAAACTTCGGAACTATTTTAAAACTAATAGCAACAAGGAGATTCAATGTCTTTATAAAGAATCAGCGATCGATTTTATTGAAGTAGATTATACGCTCTTAAAATACGGCCAAATAAAGTCGTCGCTTAGTCATTTGGAAGAAAAAAGAATTGAATGTAGCTTAAATCAGGTTTTGAAACAAATGCTTGCACATTTTCGCTGCGTTGAAGTAAAACTGAGTAGTAACTTAAAGAATTGTTTCAAGAAAAGAAAATAAGTAGAAACAAAATTGAAGCAAACTGCCTAAGAAGACTGTCAAAGTGAATGCTGATGTTTGATTAAAAATTGCTCTTGAAAAATATTCCGCTGAGTAGGCACCTGAAAATGATGAATGAATGTGGCCACTTGAAATACATTACTGACTGACAACTGGTGACAAGAGGCTTACGCTCCCACTTATGTTCATCTTCCTGTAGGAGATACATTCCTGAAACCAACAGCAACGTGAGAGATGGAACAAGAAGAAATTCATATTCTATTTTGTTTCGTTTTGTATTTTCTTTGTCATATTTTCTTACTTCAGGTTTGTTCAAAGAACTCAAAAAATTCAAAATTTGTGCGCTGTAAGACTGTCTCACAGATGATTACTTTGAGAATAATTCCTGCATTTTTTAGTAAGTGATTAAAATTTTTGTTGGTAGGTGATTAAATTTTTTTTATTCATTGAAATAATGTTTGAGCGTTCAAAACCTTTTAGAATGTAAGTCCATGTTCCTTAAATTTTCCTTGTTATTGAAAACAATAATAATAATAATTTAAAAAATCGTAATATAATTTATAGAATCAATTTATTAAATTACGCATGCTTCTAAATAAATGTTTATAAAAAAAGAGATATGAATGAAACGGAAGAGAGGGTGTCATGACAAATGGAGAGAGAGTGAGATGCTTGCTCGCAGAGCAGCAGAACCTTCACATTTGACACCTCAAAGTGTAGCTTTCCTGTTTAAAGTCACGTGTCATTTATACATCCATCTATTCATCCATTCATTCGTTCGTTAGTTCGTTCGTTTGTTCGTTCGTTCGGATATTAAAGATATAAACTTCGGGGTGTTTCGTTCATCCTAACTTTTAGAGAAGCCCTTTAATTTTGAAATGCAGTCGAGAAAAATTCATATAAAAAAATGTCGATTGAATAAATTGCAGCACGAAAGCACGTGAGTGCATCCTGCTTTCTCGAAGTAACAATTTATCTTCCCATAATTTATGCTTTCTTCTTTCTGTTTGCTTCTATGGAAGACATACTGCGTGAATAAATAAATAAACATCTACACACACAAACGCACCGCACACAAACGCACAACACACACACGTACACACACGCACGCGCACTCGCACGCGCACACCTACACAAGCCCACACCACACACATTCATATACACGCACACTCACGCACACACATACACACACACACACGTACATACTCTTATATGTAAATGTATACATATCTATGTATGTGGGCAGATGAATGTTGGTTGATGAATTTGGCAGAAGTAATAAATGATCCTATAATACAGTTTTTATTAACAATCAATGAAGTTAATTGATCAAATGCAGTGAAATCAAAAAAATTTATCGCAAAAGATAGACAAGGTAACGCTGAAAGATGATGGAACCTTTTATGCGAATGTTCAAATGTCGCTTCATATTTTTGTTGTTCATTTATAAGATATACATCTGCTGTTATGTATGATTCATTGATGTACAATGAAATAAACGAATGAATGATTGACGGAAACTTTCACAACAACCTCCACAACAAACACGACAAATACTGCAACAAAAACCCCAAAACAGCAGTAGTAGCACACATCACATGAACTACAGAACCACCAGACAACAACACATCTTAACAACACGTAGCATCAACACAACAACAACAACAACTACTACAACAACAACAACTACAACAACTACAACAACAACAACAACCTATACAATGACAAATTATGAAGAAGAAATAAATCAATACATCAGTAATGAGATCATCAATAACATGGCCAGCCAGCCAGTTAACTCGTTATGTCGGCGCTCCACCTTGCTTTCTTGCTATGGCAAAAACTTCTCTACAAAAAATAACATTTGATTAAATTTTTCTCTTGCTAATATGCAACTTTGTGTTTCAACCAATTATATACTAAATCTAAAATTTATTATTATTATATTATATTATTATTATATTATATTATATTAATTAAAATTATTTGTATTTATATTAATATTATTAATTATTGTGTTTTCTTTGCATGATGTTCTATTAAAGAGGAAAAAGCTTTTATAGTAAATTTTTGACATGAAATATTTTATGGAACAATTGTTTACTGATTTAAGAGTCATTATTGCAGAAATAGTTTATTTTTCAATCTTTACAAAGTTGAAAAAATTAATCAAATTTTCAAAATCATTCACCCTCAATTGAAAAATTTTTTCAAAATTTTCAAAGAAAAAAACAAAAAACTGTTGCATTAGTGAATAAATTTATTTATTAAAATATAATTTGACGCAGGAGTAATGTTTCTCTATCGTACAGTTCCTAAATTTCACAAGTTTTGTTCCGTAGGCTTATATAAGTGACGAGTCATTGTAAGAAAATATTTTTGTGTCTTCAACAAAGAATCCAACATTTTAATAAACATCTGAACAGTTCCTCTACTTGTAACAAAGTACAAATTTTGCTCAACCACCGTCTTCATAACCATCATCGTCGTCCTCATCATCATCGTCATCATCGTCGTCATTCTCGTATTCATCATCACCATCACTATCACCATCATAACCATCACCATCATAATCATCATCATTATCATCCTCATCAGAATCTCCTCCCTATTCATATGTTAAACAGTTCGGCACGCATACGAACACAACCACACATAAAACATACGCAACGATGATGATAATCTTAGACACTCTGCTGATAAGGAAAAAATCGAAACAAAGCGAAATAAGTTTATGTGCCAAAAAATTATTTTCTCTGGTTGCGAATTTTATAAATAAGCAGCAGCTCCATGATTGCGGAATATGGGAGAAGATTAGCATTGATAAAAAAACGAATTTCTGTTTGAATTTAAAAAAAAATTATAATTTTTAACAAAACTTTATTATACAAGTTTCAAACAACCACAGAGCAAATGGATATTGTAACTTCGTAGGCACTTTAAACGCGCTGAATGAGAGAAAATGCCTGAAAAATGGAAAAACAAATAAAAGTAAGCAGACAATTTTAAAAGTTCGTCTCTCCAACTCTCCAAAGACGTGTTCACTGAAATTGAGCATATTGGCAATTATTCGTAAATGACCGAATGAATGAATGAATGAATGAATGAATGAATGAATGAA